CGGCGACTAATGGGGAATCTATAAAACCATCTATACTGATAGGAGTAGAATCGTTCGAGCACATCGTACTCCTCGATTCTGCCCCAACTAGGCTTCCCTCTGGACTTCACGCACAAAATAACCGTATTTGGACCTGCTCTCTTCGTCAAGTCCGACAAACCGCTTAACCAACCAAACGAGGAACATCACGTGTTCGTATGCCCAGAACTGATATCCGAAAACAAAAAGAACTCAGAGACATGTACGAACTAGAAGGAATGGGCTTATCAACCGACGAATACAACAATGATGACACAACTACATGGACAGTTTCTCAAAGCATACAACTACCGAAAACGGGACAATCACAGCTCCTTTTCCTCGTGAAGATAACATAGTGGACCTTGAAATAATTTTGGAGTCGCAGCATCAAGACTGAATGCTCTTTTCAAATTCCACAGGGCTCATGAATTACAGAAACAGTGGTACATCAAAATACTAAGGGAGTACCAAAATAACGACATCATCGAAAAAATCCCTGACGAAGAAAAGTACCAGCCCAACATCATCACCTTCTACTTACCTCATTCAGGAGTATGGAAAAAAGAAAAACCCACTCCGTTAAGAATTGTTTTCGATGCTCCATCAAAAACAAAAGGAAACCTTCGCTCAACGATGTGATGCACACTGGAGAAAGTTTCACAAACAAAATCCAGGACATACTTACAATGAGCCGGTGGTGCAAAACACTCATCACCGCAGACATTCAAGCAGCATTCACGCAAACGGATCGCCCCTGAGCATCGCAACTTGCTACGTTTCTTGTGGCTCAGAGATCCTAACCAACCCCCGAGCCCGACTAATATAGTGCAATACCGATTCAAGAGACTTCCATTCGGAACAAAAGCGTCTCCCAGTATTCTGCATATGGCCATATCCACATTCCTCACCAGGATAGGCACGGAACTCTAGAAAGAAATACTGAACAATATCTACGTCGATAACGTCTTCTTAGCAGCGGATTCAAGCGAGGAAGCAATACAAAAGGTAGAGCTTCCCCGGAAGCTCTTCCGCCAAACAGGGATGAATCTAAGAGACTTCATCAGCAGTTCAATCGAGGTCAATACCATGATTCCAGAATAAAATAAAGGAAAAGCAGGCTTCACCAAATTGCTAGGTGTAAGCTATCACACCGACAATGATCGAATATCACTACACATACAGTCATCACCAAGAGAAAGGATGACCAAACGAGAACTTGCAAGCGAAGTACACAAAATATACGACCCACTCGGACTCGCATTACCCTTACCGCTGAATCCAAACTATTAATGCGAGAGGTTGTTTTGATGAAAAGCCCATGGAATAGCATACTACCACAACACTACGTTGTTGAATGGAACGAAATTCACACGAAGATTAACGACACTATCATTTTGCTCCCCCGTAATATCGGAAGAGGAAATGAAAAAACGGGAAAATCCACCTTACGTATTTTCGCCGACGCTAGCCAACTCGCCATCGTATGTTGCGCTTATGTGACCCACCTTCCAAACCATCACACAGATGGACTCCTATGCGCAAAGCCAGACTGGCTCCGCTCGAAAGAAAGCTATCGATCCCGCGACTCGAACTCATCGCAATATTGATATCCTTGCGGCTAGCGAAAACAATATTGCACGTATACAAAAAAAGGATTCAGTCGCTTCACATCGTGAGTGACAGTAAAATTGCACTCGCATGGCTACAGTCACCACGAAAACTCCCCGTTTTCGTATCAAATCAAGTCGATCGTATACACAAGTTAACTCGCCAAATTCGAGAGCTCGGCATCACTCTGAACTTCAAATACATAGAATCAGCCCATAACCCAGCCGACATCGCCACTTGAACGACAGACAAAGAACAGTTTCGAACCAGCGATTGGCTAACAGGACCACAGTGGCTCCAAATACCTAAACCGCAATGGCCAATTGACATGCCACGCAGTAAGGCTGTAGTCACGAGCGCCGACACCGTCGACGCTGAAGACAGTAGCACAACCAGCTGCGCATCCGTAATCAAAGCAAAACCACCAGAACATATACCCATTGTCGACCTTACACGCTTCCGCCATTACTCACAGGCATTGGGAACACTCGCGCGCGCTATGAAAGCGCTGGCGCACTGGACATTGAAGCTCAGTGCACGTACTAGTAGGCAAATAAACGCGACAATAATTGGTCAATTCGCCTCAGACCACAACATAGCGGCAGACGAAATCAGACGTTGTGAAGCAATTATTCTCCATGATGAAACCAAAAACACTAACTTCAACGTGCTACACTCCCAACACAGAGATGAAACCTTATTTTACAGCGAAAACAATTTAATAAGAGTTAAGTCGCGGCTGAACAACGCTGCCTTCCCTCGTGATACGAAAGAACCTCTTTATGTTCCGGATAATTCCGAATTGGTGCGCCTAATAATAAACGAAATTCACGTCTTGAACATGCACTGCGGGCGAAATCATGTCTTATCGCTCCTAAGAATGCGATTTTGGGTCCCAAAACCTTCGGCGAAAGTAAGAAAGATTCTTAGTCAGTGCGAAGTATGCAAAAGAAAACAAGGGCTTCCATTCCCTCGCCCACCGATGGCGCCTGCCTCTACCACGAGACCGCTCCGTTATCTGCAAACCATTCCAACATGTTGGTTGCGACTACATAGGACCTTTCAAGACCGACACCAATGAAAAAGCGTACATAGCTCTATACACCTGCTTGACAACACGAGCTAACCACCTGGAACTTGTCGACAGCCTCTCCGCGTCAGCTTTTCTTGACAGTTTCCTACGCTTTATAAGCCGCCTTGGAGTTCCTACAATAATTAGGTCGGATTGCGGTACCAACTTTGTCCTGGGGGCAAATGTGATTGACCATCTCTTCCAGAAGACCACAGAAACGGGACATTCAGTCACGTCGTATTCAGCCACAAAGAACATCAAATGGATATTTAACTCACCGGCGGCTCCCTGGATGGGAGGAGTATAGGAAAGACTTGTAGGAACTGCGAAGAAATGCATTTCCAAAACAATAGGCCGTAAAAAACTCGTACAGAAAATTGACGACAATGTTAACATGCATAGAAGCCGTCGTTAACACACGCCCTCTCACAAAGGTGGATCCTCAAGATCTCACATCACTACCACTTCGTCCCATGGATTTTCTACAAGAAAACCTAAAGTTCTCATTACCCGAAAGCTCCAACTCGGACGAACGCGGAGATCCCTCTTCCGGGGAAGCAATCATTACCAACATGGAGCAAGCAAAAGAAGCTCTCAAGTTTGCAGAAAGCGCCGCCAACTCCTTTTGGATCAAGTGGCACAGAGAATACTTGACAGAGCTACGCGACACACATAAGTCCTCTCCGAAACAAACGAGGCACAACTCCCGCTCGGAACCCGAAATTGGCGAAATCGTACTAATACTGCCAGACGAACCCGTCCCTCGCAGTAACTGGCCTATCGGACGTATCGTTGAGCTCGTACGAAGTTCCAACGGCCTAGTAAGGTCAGCAAGAGTTATCACGTCTTCCGAAAGACATCCCACCGCCCTATAGCAAAACTCGTTCACTCGAAATGCGAAGCAGTCTCACTGGGGAAAACATGACGCGTACCACAGCAACGAAATCCGAGACGGAGCAAAACCCTCAAAGAACATCGTTGCCCAGAAAGGCAAAAGAAAACGCAGAGTACCACGAGTCCACTCAGAACTGCGATTCCCCTAATGGTTGCAGAATGTCTAACATACACACGCTAACACGATGCCTCCTCTATCCTCTCCTCCTTCTACAATTCGCAGTACCAGGCCATGCGCAGCCTATATCCTGCAAAAATGGAATTGTAAAAATAACGCCTGCAATGTCAGAATACACCCGGTGCTTCAATCAAGTATGTCGACCCCAAACGCAGAACAGTTCCACCTTATTTACGGTGCCTCCTTCGGTTCATAACCCCAACGTAAATGTAAAGATTCATTCCGATAACGGTACAACATCACTCAGCTATACTGAAAACTGCAAAAGACGCCCATTTTGCGACGACAAAACATTTTCACACTGGGTTTACTGGGCAACCCCCATTGTTGGCCCATAGGTGCAATTTTATCAGTAGCACCACCATTTATCGCATTTATCCTCATCACAATATTGCTAGCAATCACCGTTACGAAACGCATTCCAAGGAAAACGAGAAAAACACGGACTTCCCGTCGCACACCTTTGGAAAGTCTAGACCCAGTCCAATTTTCGCTGAAAGATTTGAAGCCATCCTTATATGTGAACACGGCTTTAACGATCTTGGCTTTGACCACCGTGTGTACACTAAGCTATCAACACAAGCACATGCGCTACGTTACTGAGCTGATCTGTAACGACAGCAATAATTGCACACTCGAATAAGAACAAAACTTCTATTCAACAGACTCAATAGGCACGCGTATATCCTCTCACGACATCAAAATCGAACCATGGAAAATCTCGAAATCACATTTCAACGTTTACGCCAGATCTGCAACAAGGAAACTCTGTTTTACACGAAAGATACCTTCACTAAAGTATATTATGAAAAAAGGTGCGCGTTTATGGGATCGTGTTTAACCCATAGTTGCGCAACAATGAAGCCCAATGAATCGATACCCGAAATGCGTGGAGCAGGAATCTATCTCGGTTATTCAACGTGAACCGGTTCCTATGGAGGCATATCATGTGGCTGCTTCACAGTCCTACCATTCCCATCTTGCCTGTTTTACAGAGTCGCACAAGTCCCACACACTGAAGATATATACCACGTCTTTGCATGCTCGTCGTGGAACTTAGAAATCCACTTAGACTTCCACTTCTCCACTCCAGACAACTCCACAAAGGTCCCTCTACGAATACACCCCCATGTACGTTCACCACTTCAAGGATGGGACATAAAAGTAATTTCCATCCGGCATACAACACCTCCCATTCTCAATAGACCTTCTGCCGCATCACCGTACATGCGTATGATACTGGACGATGAGTTCAAAGTACCAGTTGAATGTCCAGATGCAGCAACGGCAGCTGAACATTTCAACGCATGTCAAAATGCCAAAACCTGTGCATGCACTCCCAGTGAGGACGCGGTGCAATGCAACTGTCCTCAGAGTACGATGCACGGAATGAAATACACAGCGCAAAAGCTACCACTTATAATACCTCATCTCAACACAAGTGCGGTAGATACGGTTGTAGCGGACACCCACGATACCGAAATCACACTGCTAATTGAGTCCCATAGGCAAATTCATATGGCACAACTTCTGGTTGATCCACCTTGTTTCTTGCATACAACGACTGTAACGGGTTGCTACAGCTGTCAAGAAGCTTCAAAAATAACAGCGTACTGTTATTCCATTGAAAAACGTGAAGTCGTCCTTGACTGCACAGACCAGTCACGCCTGCTTAAATGTTCACCTCAAAACGAAAGCAACGTCATATCCCTAGAATACAATCGTGCACACGTAAATGATATCTGTTCATTCTGTTGTGCAGGAAAACGCCGAACAATTTCCCTAGCAAGTACCCTCCTCTACCACAGTTCAATACCGGACGAAGAAATCGTCAACATCGGCGAAAACCCCAATACGAACAACAGCTGGTCGAATGACATCTCAATCCCAGACCTACGTCCTCTTATGCAGACCGTTCTCACACACTGGAAGAGCACACTAGCAACAGCATCACTTACAGGGCTATTCGGATTCGCGATCTACCTTTTTGGACCTATTGCGATTGTTGCGATCGTAAAAACCGTTATCACAATCGCAACATTTGTGTCTAAATGGTTTCTCAAGTGTGTGGATAGTATTCGAACAACCGTTACTAGAATTACGAACAATAGAGCTCGCAACTGAAGAAGCCACTTTTCACTCTTCTGCCATGTTCTCTTTTTGAACGGGAACAGCCCTCCCCTTTTTGTGATACAGTGCTCCTCAGACTTCATGACCGACGACCCTCGCACGACATCTGCGCAGCTGGCGCCTTCTGACAGCGCGCCTGAAAATAGCAACACTCCTGTAATGGGTCTCGCAGCTACACGTCATCTCGACCCATTCCAGGCACCGATTCAACTCACTATGAACATGCTAACTACTGCAATGCAAGCTATTCAGAGTAAACTGAGTTCCATCGAGACTAAAATCGACTCTTTGATAGCCCACCCTATTCGACTACCATGCATATTTTGCGACAGTGAAGAACACCGTTCTTCTTCCTGCACCCAATTTCCCGATATTGTGTCTCGCTCTCTCCGTTTGAGAGATCGAGACAAGTGCACGTCCTGTCTGGCAACTGCACATGGTATTTGTCTTAAGAAGTGTCGCAACTGTGGAGAACCGCATCATGCGATTCTATGCAACATAAAACCAACGAGTGGGCCACCAGCAGAACGCCATCGATCGGATTGACGATGAGTCGATCTTGATTTACTGCTTTTATTTATTCACAAGTTGTTACATGTTTTACTAGTTTGTTTTGTTTAATTACGCATTTACTTGTACCATTCATATGCTCTATCCCTGAACTGTAAACGCAAAATTACCGCTCACACCACACCAAACGAAAATCACTCGCTCTCTGGTCAATCTCTCGTAGCTCAGCGATGAAAGCCCCCAATATATGTCGTCTCACTATGCCTATTCTCACAACATTGTAGTCATCAGTTCAGTCTCAACTCACATACTGTCGTCAGGTCAGGGGTAGGAGCCGGGCTCCGATTGGCTAGTTCGCGAGTGACTCATCAAAAAGTCAATGTCAAGTGAGCATTATTTTGCGTAGTCAGTCCCATTCATCTCTTTTACACGTCAACAATTCAAATATATGCTGATTTCCCATCTTCCTATGTATGTTTCTAATACTGCTTCGCACTACTCAAAAACTTTTCGCGGCCGGGGAATGTCGCGGCAGACCCCGCAGCCGCTACGTTTCATTGTTTTATGTATGTTGGAAGCATGCGGAGGCTCCGCCTCCTGCCCTTAGTTTTCCCGAGGAGACAATACGGTCGTTCCTGACCGGTAGTCTTCAGTTGTTCCCCACCCTATAGTCTTCAGTTGTCTCTCGCCTGCAGCCCTCAGTTGTGGCTTGCATTTGGTTGTCATCAGTCATTATAAACCTATGTCAGTCATCAGTCGCATAATAAAGGCTTGATAATTAAAATCTGTGTGAACGCGTTAGCCAGGATGACAGTCTGTTAGAATGCACTAAAAACTATCAAACATGAGTATGTAGGGGAGAGCTCGAGAGCTTTCGGTACTATATTGAAAATGATCTCTCACCTTCAACTCCACACCATTACCTTCTACGAGTGGCGCCAAGGGGGAAGCGCATGTGAAGTGGTTGATGCCATCAACAACACATTGGGTGAAGGCACTGTTCACCGCTAAACGGTCAACCGTTGGTACAATCGCTTCGTTTCAGGGGTGAAAATATAGTTGGCGGGGGTACCCATCCGAAGCTCAGTATATCAAGAAATGAACTCAGTCTGACGTGTTAGTCCTTGTTATATTAGCACTGTATCGGATGCGTAGAGGATGATGGAAACCGACCACCTTAGCCCTTTTATGCGGTTTCAGCTAAGGAAATTTAGTTACCCGAATAAGCCTAAGTAGAGTAGGAGCACCTGGGTGGCTGGGATGATTATCTCCTGCAAAAAAAAGAATAAAAAAGAAAGAAAACTTGCCCATGGCGGTGCTCCTCCCCTACGAAAGCCCTCATTTAAAAAGTGGCATGTCCGCGATATAACACGGCATAGCACGCTTCATTGAGTTCATTTCTTGACATACTAGCCTTTGAATGGGTGTCTCCCCAACTACATTTTCACCGTTTCAGGAGATACCAGCTTTGAATATAAAGTACGCAGAGGACGAGCACAAAGCATCGATGAAGGCGAGTTACTTAATGCTCTCATCCGGAAGACACCACGCGTGAGATGTAAACGATACTAGGATGCCCCCACTCCACTACCAATACCTTCTCCATGCCCGAGGCTATCGAAAAGTACTGTCAAGATGGATCCCCCCACTGATTGACGGATACCTAGAAGCAGGGCCGTGTCAACATGCGCGCATTTCCGCATCACCTCATCTCGCGCATAAAAGCTGAATATTGTATGATTACAGTGAACGCACTGTCTCGCGGCGTTGAGTCACCAACTTAACTAAAGCCAAAACCTCACCAGCGCGACACCTTCTCTCTGTTTGGGAGGATACGAGGGGACTCGTTTATTACGAGTTACTGACCGCTGGCAAGACTGTTTCAGCTGCCGTTCACATAGATTAGCTACCTACAGCATCACAACGCGCTTCCACACGTCGCATCCTAGATCGTCGAAAAATGATTCAGCTTGGCTGGCATCCAGTTGTTCACCCACTCTTCGTACCGTACCCTGCACCTTCCGATTACCATTTGTTCTAGTCGCTCGAGCACCATTTGCGAGGAAGAGTTTAGAATTCACAGTGATCTGAAATAAGCAGTAAATGACTTTTTGAGTCACAGTCTCCTGAGTCTCACAGGATATCAATGATTTGTCCAAAAAATGAGAGAAGGTCACTGATCTTTGTGGTGAATATATTGTTAATATTTAACATGTTAAGAAGATTTCACAGTTCAAAGAATAAAATAACTTCTCTATTGAAGGACTTCTTGCCAACCTAATAGTTTGTTAGGTTAGCAAGGAAGATCAAGAAATTTGAGTGACCCATGAAAAGGAAAGCAACGGAGCAAGACTCATCGAAGTTGTCGATGGAGCGGATTATCAAGCAGAAACTTCATAGCTACATATTCCGATCAAATGCAGAAATATCCTTTACTTCCGACCCAAACAGAAGGCATAGGCTCAGAAATGCAGAAAGTTGCTGACCAACTTAAGGAAAAACACGCATCCCGTCATTATTTTCTCTGGCGAGAAAGTTTTCACGACAAATGCAATAGAAGAAATGAATTGCGTTCTAGATAGAAACATCGAAAGTGCAAACTCTCACGGAAAACTATCAGCCGCGCGAACTCATCAGCATAGAGACTTCGAACCTCTGCCCGTGCTGATAGGGAATATTTTAAACGTGATCGCAGCTTGTTCTTGCACATAACGTGTATATACATTCCACTGTCATTCTCACCGTAGAACATCAGATACATTGCGCTGAATAGGTGCCCACAAATTTGGGCACTGTATATACAGGGTACCCCAAAACTATGGGCGCCTACTCATTGGTATTTCGAGCTTTGAAGCTGAGAATGACAATGAAATTTGTATACTCGTTCGCTTACATCGCAACAGCAAGCTACAATCAGCTCTCGAAATTACAATGCTCCCTTAGCAAGAATAGAGACCTAGAGTCTGTTCTCCAACTCCTCGTATATTGTAAGCAGGTACACCTCCTTCATTTCTTCCCAACCGTTCTCGAGTATTACTTTTTGTTAGGGGGTGACCAGTTTAGGTTAGGAAGAAGAAGATGGAAGAAGGAAACAGGATAAGAAGATAAGAAAAGCCCTAGGTATAAAAGCATCCCCTGGTAGGATAATAAACATTCACATCCCTGCTGTGTTCACACACGCTGTAGTTGGCGATCAGGTAATCGAGGAGTGGAGCGACTACAGAGGAGAACCGTCTAGCCGTCGACCTACTCATCAAGAATGTGAAGTTCCCCGGGGCCCAAGATCTCTACCGCGGAAGGCCGCCGGAACCGCGTGTAGCGGGAACGTCGTGGAGGACTGTGGAGATTTTTCACTAATTTCCTTACCCTGAGGAAAATAATCGAGGAGAAAGAAACGATGGAATTTTCTTCAAGAGATAGGGAAATGGAATTATGAGTTACTCGAGTCGCTATTGCAGGGAAAGGAATCGTAGTCGAGGGACTTGGCCAGCCTATGTAGTGCTATGGAAAAGCACTTTCAGTCGAAGGAGTTGGTTCTAGTGGAAAGATTCGGGTTAATTGCGAAAGTTCAAAGCCAGGTCAGTCCCTCCACGAGTTTTATGCCGAAGTGGAAATGCAAAAGGTGGCAAATGGGTGTCAATTAGAAGAAACAAAGAATCACAGGGACGCCATATGACAGTGATGTTCATAGGTGGGCTTCAATTGTTGGGAATTAGGAAACGGTTGTTAGAAATAAAGGATTCAGCATCAAAAGAAGCTTTGGAGCAAGCCGAAGCCTGGGAGGGAGTTGGTGTCAGTGCTCCTAATTTAAAAGAGGGACCCTAAATGGTGGGAATAGCACAGATAAAGCCAAAGTTGATAACCAGTAAGCAAGTACGTTTCGGAAGGCCACTGTGTTCGGAAGAAAAGTAGTAAATGCTCCGGCAAGGGTTCTGGCCGTGGCGTGCGGTTTGCAATGTTTTGGCATGTTAGGTCATTATTCGAGACAAGGTTTCAGGATGGAGAAAGCGTATTGCACACTGGGCAACAAACGCGGACACCTTGCTTGTGCGTGTCGAGGAACAAAGGAAAAGACTCTCGCCAAGCGCACTATGTAAAGAGTTTTCCGATAGTTCCGATGGTGGCGAAATGAAAGACAGTTATGTAGACAGAACAATATTTTCGGTACGGCAGTGTGGTCACCAACGTAGAGCTGGAAGACCGGTAAGCAGTGGATGTGACCGGGAAACCAAGTTGGAAATGACAGAAGATAAGCAGGAGCTGCAGTGTGATAGTGTTCAACACACTCACCAGTCATAGAGAGCTGACCGACTTTGACTGAGTTGTGCTCAAAATGAGAGCGGTAATAAGTAGTTGTTTTGGCAGTAGAGCCGCCGAGAATGCTTAAGACAAGATTCGAAGAGTATGGTGTACCGTTTAAGTTAGATACGGAGCTTGAATGTCGATTATAGACGAGAATACATGGCGCAGGATAGGAGCGCCAGAATTGAAGGAATTGGTTGTGGAAGCTACCGCTCACAATAATGAACGATATACGATACATATGTATATATTGGGTTGCCCGAAAGGTTCATTCCGATTTTGAACACTCTCGGTTTATCAAGTGTTTTTAAAAAGATCGTCGGCATAACCTCACAGAGTCATACATCCACTGAAAGTGTAAGTCTTAGTCTATATCCTTCTTAGGTTATGTTGATATTTTTTAAAGATCCTTTGTATAGAGCTTGAGAGGAAATGGAAGACAATCGCGTGCATTTCTGCCATCTAACGATCTTCCCCCATCGCAAAGGAAAGAATGCAGCTCAATTTGCGAGAAAGAATTATGACGTTTACGGAGAGGATGCTCTACATAAACGTACAGTTCGTAAGCGGTTTGCGAGATTTGAGCGGGGTGAATTCAACCTCGAAGATCGGCAACGGCAGGCGCAGGGAGGCCATCATTACTTGAAGAGGATCAAATCAAAATGTTGTTCTAAAAGGATCGGCACAATATAGATATAATGTATTATACAGAATAGAGAATATATGGTTAATAA